GTGGGACCTGGTGGCTGAGAGGCTGCAGACCATGGCTGCCCACTAAAGAGAGCTGCTGCTGTGGACCAACTGCTTCCTGACCTGCTCGCCCTCCTAATAAACCCCGAGGGAGCAGTCTAGTTCTGTGCAGCTACTGCAGTGAGCGCAGGAGCCCAGCCAGCACAGATGCTGCCTGTGGAGAGGAAGGCTGGAGGGTGGGGGCCTGGGCTGACCCCTTGCTCTGCCCTCACCCCGCTGTGTCTGAGGGGGCAGGGAGCCTCACCTGCTGGTAGTAGACGTAGGCCAGGACCCCCGCAATGATCTCCAGCAGGAAGATGAGGAGCAGCAGGATGAAGTACTGGGGGGCAGGGACCCAGTGAGGCAGCGAGCCGGCAGGGACATGCCCTGGGCAAGGACACTCCCTGTCCAGGCTCCGACGACGACGGGTCCCCACCTGACTTCCCCTGCTTTCCTCAGGGACATGGATCCACTGAGCTGGAGGAGGGCCCACCCACCCAGCTGGGCGGGCTACAGCAAGCTTGGGATGCTCCCTTGTCCCTATACAGACCCCCTCCCTGCCCTGCCTTGCTGTGCCAGCCCACGCCCACTGACCAGACGCAGTAGGTTCCGCCTCTCCTTGAAAGTGGCACAGCAGCCCAGAACACCTGTCACCATGACAACCACACCGGCCACCACCAGGATGTAGGCTGTGGCCAGGTAGGTGCCTGAGGCCAGCAGGCTGATGTAGTCGCTCTTGAGGGCCAGGGTCCAGATGCCCACGGCCATGACAGCCAGGCCAGCCAGCTGGGGGTAGTGAGCACAGCTTTCAGGTCTGGGACCCAAAGGCTGGCTGTGGGCACCCCCACTCCCATCCCTGCGGCCTGGGTGGACCCGCTCCGCACCCAGAAGCAGCAGTTGAAGGTGAAGAGCAGGTACTTGAGGCAGATGGTGCCACAGGTCTCCTTCTCATTGAACTCCCCCATGCTGGGGCCTGTGGGATGGGGATGCTCAGGCAAGGTAGCCAGGACTCCTCCTGGCAGGGAGACACCAGCCCAGCCGGAGGCCCAGCAGGGCTGCCCAGGCCGGTGATGGGCACAGCTAGCCCAGCCACTGGGCTGGCCCGGAAGGCGATTCCAGGGAAGCTGGATACGAGTCACTTCCTGTGGATGCTAGTGCTGTGTCCCCAGCTGCGGCCAGGGCCAACCGGACACTCCCACCCAACCCCAGGGCAGGGCCAGATGCCCCCCTTCCAGAACCAAAGTTTGGGACAGGGCCACACAGCCAGCCAGCAGTAGGCCCCAACGTGGGCTTGGGCTGTGGGCAGCCCTCCCCACAGCACTCCCGCCCTGGACAGGCAGGACTCTGCCAGCCCACAGGAGCTAGGAGGCCCCGGGAACTTGGCGATTTGGGGGGCTCTGGGTCTTGGTCGGTTTCCTCAGCCCCCCTTCCCTTTCTCCCTGGATCAAGGGCTGGAGAAAGTGGCTGGCGGCCAGGCACTCGGCAGAGGTGGGGGAGGCAGACTGCACCATCCCTTAACCTGAGCCACAAACCACCCTCCTGGCTGAGTCTGCGAGCCCCAGACGAGCAGGCGCCTCGGGCCGCCGATCCAGACAGGACCCGCCCTCCCGCCCAGCGCTCACCTAGAGATGCCTCAGGCAAGCAGGTGGGCAGAAGTTTCCTGGAGGTACGCTGGGGGGGCAGAGGGGAAAAGGTTAAAAGATGGCAGTGGCTGCGGAAGGGCCCTCCTCCTCCCCCCTCCGCGGCGTGAGAGGTAGCCTGGGCTGGGCAGTCATTTCCCCCTCACACCCCACCAAACATTTCCCCCGCCTGGCCAGTCAGAGGCGCAGCCAGGCCTGGTAGGTATTTTGGTCTGAGCTTGGGCAGGACGGGGCAGGACATTCCTGGGCAGGCTGCTACTGGAGAGGCCGTGCTGCCTCTCACACCCCACACTGGACCGGTCATTCCTCCCCGTCGGACAACAGCCGCAGCCTGGGAAGGGCTTGGATGGCACCGCTGGGCCGGGGGATGTGGAAAGCCCCCCACCTCTAGCGGATGCCCCTAGCTCCCCGGACCCAGGCCTCTGGGACCCGCAGCGGTACAGACTCCTCCTCTTACGAAAGGCGTGTGCACTCCCCAGGAAGGCTGGGCTGGGCCCGCCAGAAATAGCTCCCAAGGCCGGAACACTTGCCCCACCCAGCCTCTGACCAGCCAGCAGGCCCAGGGACCCTCCCGCCAGGCCAAGGGAGGAATCCCCGCGTCACTCCAATGCAGTCGCCGCCGCCGCCGCGGCCACCACCGGGCGTGACCAATGGCCAGCACCCTAGTACAGAGCAATGGGCGGGCCTGCCACTCGAGGGAGGGAACTGGAGTCTGGGGCCGCGAGGGGTCTTCGGGCTGCACATTCCCAGGCTCTGCCCGAGGGGGGCCGCCCGGCCTGCCCAGAGACCTGGGGGCGCCTCCTCGCTCGCCTGCCGTCGGGCTCCCCCAGGAGAGGGCCAGCGAGGGGCTCCGGGCAGATCCGGAGGGCGCGGCCTCCTCGCTTTCCTAGCGCCTGCAGCCGGCCGGGCCCCGTGGAGCCCTCGGCTCGGGCCCCGGCCTCCCCAAGTGCCCTAGCGGGAGGAGCACTCACCCACCGGCCACGCGTCCGGATCCCGACTCAGGCAGTGGCGACTGCGGGGGCGGCGACACGGGGAGCCGGGAATGCGCGGCCCGGGGCCTGCGAGGGAGACCCGCCCTGGCCCCGCCCCTGCGTTGGCCCCGCCCCTGCCCCACCGGCCCACGACTCTGGGCAGGTCTGAATCCTAGGGGAGGATGGGACCCAGCAGGGTACCAGCGCTTGTAACTGACTAAAGGATAAGGACGCTCCTGGGGGCTCCCGAGCCCAGCGGGGACCCACCCCCTCCGGAGACGGAGGCCGAGCCAGGGGCGAAGGTGGGGCCGGCCAGGCCCAGGGCCCAGTTCCCTCCCGGAAGGACAAAGGCTTGGGACCTCTCGGAGAGCAGGTGCGCTCTGGTGCGGGGGAAGTGCGCTCTGCGGGCAGAGTAGTCGGCAGCCCACCGGGGGCAGTCTGGAGCCCCACCCTCCCTTCTTGTAGCACATGGCCCCCCAGCTGCCCACCGCGGGGCTGAGGAGGAGTTGCTGGGACGGAGGGAGAAAGGTCAGGGCTGCTGACAAAGAGGACAAGGGGGAGGGGAGGGGAAGAGACATTTGATCCAAAGAGCGCCCCCAGACCTGCGGGTCTGGGCCTGCACCCTCCGTAGGAGGAGCCCTCTGTCCGTGGGTTGGGGCAGGGATAGAGGGCAGCTCCAGGCCAACCCTAAGGAGCTCCTCTCCTCTAGACAGCCAGGCTCCTGGGGGGCCTGAGCAGCAGACCCAGGCTGTGGTGGCACAGCATGGATGCTGGCAGGGAACCCTGCCCTGGCTGCCGGTGGGGCTCCATCCACGGTGTTCGCATAGCCTGGGCGTTTGTTTTGCTGGGTGTGGAGACTTGGCATGACCAGGCACGTGCGGGAACCACAGGGACCCGGCTCTGGCACTGAGGGCCAGGAAGGGTATATAGTGTGCCTGGGCGGTGCTCACACCAGCCTGGTGCTTGTCGTGGTGTGTTGTCCCACACGCACATCACACATACGCTGCAGCTCGCAGACACAGAAGGTCAAGGGGCCGAGGTGAGGCCACCAGCCTTTATGGGTGGAGGGGCGTTTCTTTGTTGGGACATGTGGGTTGGAGACCAGACAAGGCCCAGCAGGGAGGCCGTGCCCCACGTTAGTGTTTTCAGCTGTGACCCCCGGGTGGAGCCCGTGTCCAGGAAGCCAGGCCTTCTTCGGATGGTCAGCGGGCACTGGGGAAGTGGCCAGAGCCTCGTCGGGGTGGACGAGCCCAGCTGCTGCAGCAGCAGCCGCCAGCAGGCGTGGGCAGGCAGGCTGCTGCCAGGGCCTTTCTGCAGGCACTGCCCAGCCGCTTGGTCTCCCAGGCGTCTCTCTCGTCTCGAAGCCGGGTGTTCAGCTCCCTGTAGAAGGAGGGTGGTTTGAGGAGGCCAGCCCAGAAAGCAGCCGTCTTGGGCGGGCAATGCCGCGATGGGCCGCAGTGCCCTTACCTGAGCAGCTCCAGCTGCCGCAGGAGGCTGACTTTCTCCATCTGCATGTTCCTTGAGACGGTGACCACGTCTCTGCGGAGGAGAGAAGGAGGTGAGCGAGACCGCGCGCCCGCCTAGACCCCCACGCCTAAGCCCCAAACCCTCAGGTCCGCTCACCGGCGAGTTTGCTCCCGGCGGACCCTGGCGTCGCCCTCCAGGCTGCGGAGCTGCGCCTGAGCCTCGTCCAGCTGCGTCCGCAGCGCCTCGTTGGCCAGCCACAGCTGGGCGTTCTGCGTCTGGGTCTCCAGCTGCTCCGCGGTCCGAGTCTGCAGCTGTTGCTCCAGCTGGGAAAGATCGGGCGGGGAGTACTGCTCGCGGGGAAGGCCCCTCCCGACCCCAGCCCCAGTGCAGCTCGTAGGTGGCGACCCTAAGGTGCGGGCTGGACCGGAGCTCTTCAACTCCGCCGCCGAAGCCCCACAAAGGAAGCCCCTCTCTAGACCCCTGACCCTCAACACTTCTGGACTCGGGGCCACTGAGCTCGAAGCCCCCCCAGGGGCGGCAGTGGGTATGGGGCCGGGCCTGGGCACCTCCCGCCGCCGCAGGCCCACGCGCTCCAGCTCCTGCTCCCGGCTCTGCAGCTCCAGCTCCAGGCGGCTCCTGCGCTCCTGTCCCGGGAGGTCCTGGAGGTCCTGGAACGGTGCGGGAGGGGGGAGAGGGGAGAAGGGGCGGGGAGGTCCTCCTGAGGAAGGGCGCCAGGGCGGGGCAGGACTCGTGGGAGGCGGGACGTGGGCGTCTGGGAGGCCTGCGGGCAGGGCGTGCCGCCCACCTGAGGGCGCAGGCGCAGGCGCTGCTCACGGCTCTGCAACTCCAGCTCCTCAAAGAGACTGCGCACCTCTCGCTCGTGCTCGCTCTCCCGCCTGGGGGCGCGGGCGGT